GCGGCGAGGGGATCGAGGAGCGGAGGCCTGTGCTACGGCTGAGTAAGTCGGCGCAGGTTCTGGAGAAAGGGGCGCAGCTGACTGTGCGTCCGGACCGCATGGGGGAGCGGCGGTGGCAACAACGACAGGCTGTGAGGGTGCTGCGGTAGAAGAGGTCGCAGCAACCGCGGGAGTAGGAAGAAGGTAGGAAGGAGTTGTATAGGGTGCAGGGCACGGAAAGCGAGCCTGCATGGGATGAAGGGTAGAGGAGGTAGGGGGTGCGCCCGAAGGCGCGGCCACCTGTGAGGGTGGGGGTGGTTGAAGGCGTAAGAGGGCGAGGTTGGCCCGGAGCTGGGCAGTCTCGTCCTGGAGACCTCGAACGTAGGTCGTGCGAGGGGTAGCAGGGGGAAGAGTGGAGGAAGTGGATGCACAAGCGGCACGGGGCATCCCAGAGGGGGGAACTGCGGTCGTGCGAAGGGGGGGGAGGAGCGGGGCACCCGGAAACGCTGAGACCATGGTAACGGGTTGTGGTCTCGTTGCCGTCGTAACCGGAATCTGGGCCGGTGCGCCCGTAGACTGAGGAAGGGCCTGACTCGTGGCGGCCGTCGAGCTAGGGGCGTGGACGGTCACCAAAATGGCCGGGTCGRGGGCGGCAGAGGAGGAAACTCCGCCGTGGCCACCCTGTCGGAGAACTGGGGACCCGGACTGAGAGCCAGGAGAAGAGAGAGGATGAGGAGAGGAAGGACGACCAACGTCCTGGAGTTGCTGCACTCCGGCGGCAAGGGTCGCCACCTGCGCCTGTAAGGGCCCGAGGGTCGCGAGTTGCGCCTGGATGGGCGCGAGGGTCGCGAGTTGCGCCTGGATGGGCGCGAGGGTCACTAGTTGCGCCTGGATGGGCGCAAGGAGGGAGGTGAGGAGGGTGTGTAGATCCCCCTGGGGCTGATGGCCCTAGTCCGCCGGCACGGGTGTGGAGCCCGATGCCGTGGTCATCGCCGTGTCGACGGCGTGTGACGCACCGTCGGCCATGGGGAGATGACGGACCAGACTGGAGGGGGCAAGAAGAGGTCCGCGTGAGCGGAGGGCGTAGGGGGAAGTCCGCGGTAGAAAGCGGCGAACGGCGCTAGCAAGGCTAGCA